TTTCTACACCACAGGCAGGAAATCCCAGATAAGTCATGAGATCTCTGCGATCCCAGAGTGTGTCTGGGGTGGGAATTCCCGAGCATGTGGGGCTTCAGCCACTGTGTTCCTCCCAGTGGGGTCAAATGTTCTCCACAAACATGATCATTGCCTCCTCTCCCGGCCTCCTGCTTCTGCTACTTAACCATTTAATGCCAGAATCTTTCCGTGAAGGAGCTGTGGCCAACAGGACTCGGCTTTTCTTTCACTGACAGAACTGAAGTTGAAGAGTGAGTCTCTAGAGGAACCTTTCCCCAACCAGCTTTGTTTCTTTCTTTTTTTTTTTAAATCCTATTAAAAATATAAGTTATTTTAGTTTTTTTTTTCAAAGATTATTTACGCATACAGAGCTGAGGTACAGGCCAGAGGTGCAGGGGCAGTGAGAGGATTCACTAGAGAAAGAGTGAGGAGCAAAACAGGCAGACTGACAAAGAACCCTGCTGAGGGGAGCAGCAGGTGGGTCAGGAGAGGTCTGCTGCGCCATGTGGGTCACCTCCAGGGCGGGGAATCAAACTCGCACTGAGGCGGCTGCGGCCAGCTTGCAGTGCTGTGTCCTAACCCACTGCGCCACCAGGGAGGGCCCCTATTTAGTTGTTTTAATTGAAGTAACAGTGGGTTACAACACTGTATCTGATTTAAGGCTGTAGGCTGACCCGTCCTCAGATGTATATTACCACAGTGTTTCCGCCACCATCCAAGCCCCCATGATCCTCTACCCCAATCCAGCAAACTCCCTCCCATCCATATGATCTATCTCCACGCCACACCCTCCCCCTCTGCTAGCCCCAATTCTACAGTCAGACGTCAATGGTTTGTTTGTAAAGCAGCTTTTTTAATTTTGAAAAACTTACTTCTTGGAGTTATGAAGACCAGAGGCAGCTTCCTATTTGTCCTCAAAGGCAGCACTGTCCTATGTCCTATGTTCCAAGGAACTAGCAGACACAGGTTCTGAGCAGTCAACAGGCAGGGAAGCCACTCAGGAACAGCCCCAGGACAGGCCATGTTACATCTTCATGTGCTGGGGTGCAGGTCTGACCAGCCCAGCCTGGGGGCGGTGGAGGCTTGGCCACTCACGGCCCGCAACCATCTCAACGTCTCAGGCCTGAGCCTGTGGTCACCGTGAGGAGAACAGGGGGATGACAGGAGTTCGTGTGCACAGTGTGGTGCCTGGCATGACACACACTGGGACTTGCTTTGCTCTATAGCTCTCTGCACATTTGGGACCAAGCATGCACTCAGTCCCAGCTGGGAGGACAATCTAGTTTCTACAGGATGTGATGTGCAGCAGAGAAATCCAGGGACAGAACAAAAACCCTCTGGTATCAGTTTGGAGTCTTCGGGCAATGAAGAGAGCTGTGGGACACTGGAAATGGGAGTGTCTGTTGCCTCCAAATATGCCCTGAAACACCAACCATGGCCTGTTCATCCCTCACAACCAGAGCCATCCCTCGGTCCCCCCAGGGATGCGGAGGTTAGGCAATGTTCTGGAGAAACATCCTCCAATCCCAGCCTGGCCTGGGGTGCAAGGGCCCGAGGGCTCAGCCTGGCGTGATGGTGGACCGGACACCTTCCCGCCTTAGAAAACAAAGACATAGCTCCTTCTGGTGTCTTGTGCTCCAAAAAGCCATGCGGTTCTCATGGCTGTGTTTCCAGGGGAGACCTCGATAAATACTGAGCAAATGAACCGACTACTGAATGTGTGGCAGTGCATTTCTGACAGTTCCTTAGTCCAACTCTGGAAACAGAGACTAAAGGTAAGGTTGTGGGCTGGGGGGGCTGGGGCTGGTTTCTTCAGGAGGAAATTATGAAACTGCCTCCCAGATCAGAGGTGGCACTCAGCCATCTGGGTCACGTACCAGCTTCCCCTCTGGCTGCAGGGGACTCCCTGTCTCAGGCTGCAACAGCCAGCCGCCCTGACTTCACAATGGCCCCAGCAAATCCCTGGCTCCCCAGCGCAGTGCTCCAGTAGCTTCACCGACTGTGGAAAACAGGGGAATGTGTGCTGGGGCTGAGCGGGCACTTCATGGGGAGGGGTGAGCTCCCTCCCGAGAGGGAGGTTCTGGCATCACTGCTTTGCTGAAGGCTTGCTCCAGCTCTCTAGTGGCTGCAAAGAATCCGGGCCTTTGAGGCTGCCAGCTACCAGGAATGCCGAGTGAGTCCTCCGGGCAGCAGGGTCAACACGTGAACACCAGAGGTGACAGATCCTTTGTTCTAACCTCTGCTGGGGGCAGAGACCAGGAGCAACTGCGGCCATTTCACTCAAGGACAAAAAGGGGG